TACGCCATGACGTAATTTTATTCACAAGGATTCAGCGAAGTGCTCGGCGGGTAGAATATTCAAATTTTGCTTTCTGAAATTTTTCTCAGTTTATAATATTTTCCTTTTGTCAGAAGTACAGTCTAATCGATTTAATATTGTTGACATGAAACATCTTAAAATTCAATATCCCTTCATTCCAAAGGCGATTATGACTCTCCACGGCTTCTTTTTCTTTATTACGTTGCGGTCACTATTTCTAGCTTGACTGAAAACAATGGCAACCAAAATTTCCACATGTAATTGACGGGTTGCCATCCTTTGTAGAGGTAAAAGGAAACACGGATATATTTTCATGCATTTTTATATAACTAATAAAAGAATAATAACAAGAAAGCGTATGGGACTTACGGCCATATCACCGAAGTTAAGCAACGTCAAGCTTGTTCAGTATCTAGATGAGTGACCGCTTGAGAATACAAGGTGGTGTAAGCTTGGATGTGCAGGTGGTGTAATGGATAATGGCTCGGAAAAGTTATTGGGAGAGCCGAGTTGCAGTTACCAGCTCCCTGTATCTATGAGTTCATTAGTAAAAGTTGTATCACTAAAACCATTATTATCTAAAAAAAAATCTTACAATTGTTAAGAGAATATCCTTTTGCTGATTAAACGTCTCCGAGTTCTGGGGCGTTTAGATCAAAGACTTCAAGTAAGTCTTTGACGTGGGGAATATTTATCAGGGCTTTCGTTAGTTGGCGCCAAAGGAACGAAGCGAGGTGTCTGGCGAAGTCAGTTGTTGCAGAAATCTGCTTCGGATCAGACTGTTCACGGGATATGTAACTCTACCAAAAGAAAGGGCTGACATTTCTGCAAGTTAATCTAAACTTCAGTAAGCCTTTTTACTTTTACTCCACTAACCAAAACACTAAAATTAAAATAAAATCTCTTTTGGTATCTGTCTATATTTCTGAGATGAGTTATTATGTACACTATTTACATTATTCGGACTATTGTCCTCATCTTTGTTGCCATATTTATCACAACGTTTCGGCCGTTGTACGCTCCGACTTTCTTCAGGTGGTTGGAATGTCGAACCGAACACTTTATTTCGCTCGCTGGGGTAGACTGTTCTAGTTCCACGCGTCATGTCTAATGGATGTCAGTTATCTGCTGTTAATTCACCTTTCCCAGTTCTCCACTGCCTTAACCAGGTATTGAACTCACAACTCTTTGGGTCCTGTCATTGGATCTAACCAACGCCTTTATCCACTATGCCATGTGTCCTTAAGGACATCTGTCTATGAATTTAATTTCTGTGACTTATAAAATTAATGTCTTCAACGACATTTTTTAACCAGTGCTCATATTGCAATTTTTGCTGTTATCATTTATATTTTTTACCAGAACTCATATTGCAATTTTCGTTGTTATTATTGCTTTTCTCTGGCAATCCTTATTACTGGTTCCCATATTGTATTCATTTCTATGCTTGGTCGGCTCAGGAGATTTTTGTGGCCCAGAATATGTGCTGATTCTTTAAGTTTACGAATTTTCCAATGATGTTCTTTGTCTATGATTTCAACGTGATCCCATATAGGGCGATGATCTTCCTTTTCTCTCCATATGTGGTCAGCCACGCCTGATTTTTCCACTTCCCCTCGTGTTACAGCTTTCTGGTGTTCTTGAAGACTTACCTTGAGGGGGCGGCCTGTCTCCCCTTTATATTTCTTTCCGCAGCTCTTTTGTTTTACTATAAAGAAACTTAATCGATCTTCTTGTAGTTCTCTTTGATTTTCGTTGTCTTATTTTTTTTTTTTTTTTTTTCGCGTACGTGAAACAATCTAAAATATTTTCTGGCTTTAAATAACCGGCAAATGGTTGATAAAACGTAGAAACCAAATCAAATCAAATAAGAGAAGATATACTAGTGCGCACACAGTCGAAAAGGAAATAAAAAGAAAACATTTATAGCGTTAGCCATAGTACATATGTTTGAGTCCGTGCACCACGTGACCGGGTGACTAAGTCGTTCTAGAAGTTAAGAAAGGACAAGTATTCTACCTACCGCATTCTAGAATGAAAAAGGTGAAAAAAATGATTACTTCGGGGCCTTTATAGGTGTCATGGCAGACCAGTCGTAGGTAATCCCTACAATATTCTCCCCAGATTGGAAAAAAATATTTTGCTAATACGTCTGCTTTCCCTCTGTTCTGTTAGACAATTTTTCTTGGGTGGATCTATCTTACATATTTGTAAGTCGACTATAGGTCCTTGCTTTGCATATTACTGCCACATATGGAGATTCTTGATAAAATCCCCAAATGAATCTGCAATGCTATTGGTTCTGATCTGGCATCTCGCCTTCAGTCTTTCTCCCACCTACTTAATTTAATTTTCCTGTCCTTTTTCTATAAATACTTACATGATAATTATTCAGATGAAACTCTTCGCTGCAATATTGAGACTTTATGAATTTAAGTGCAGTACTAGATTGGCAACAATTTAAATTTGAGCTGGCTAGATGCAACCGTAAATTCTATGCTCATATTTTCTTTTCTCGCACTTCTCGCTTGTGGAACACTCTGTCGGTTCCATGTTTTGCAGCCAACTTTCATCTTCAAAAATTTAAATGAAATGTCAATCGTTATTTACTGTCTTCCTGGTCACTCTTGTGTTGTTCTCTCTGACGGTGGAGTAATGGATAGCGGCCCCGATTGAGGAATCGGAGAGCCGAGTTCGAATTTTAGTCGAATCCATTACATCACTTCTTCTCCCCCTCCCCCAGCTATGGGTAAATAGCAGGACAGACCGGGTTCTATAACCTTGGATGACAACTGGTCTACCGCAGAAAGAAATGCTAACCGACTGCAGGAAAAAAAATCTGCCTCGTCAGTCATGTGTCGAAAGATACATGATCGCCTAAGCATGTATGGCGCATGGCACGTAACTGACTGACTTAGTAATGTTTCTGTTTTCTATTTTTTTCACACCCAGTGACACCTTGTGTCTTAGTGGCTTTACTGCCTTGCTTGGGATTAATTCGATTTTTTTAAATACTTCTTCTAGAGGGCTTCTAAATTTTATTTTAACTGGAATTTATTTTAGTGAGTAAGGGAGCTGGAGATCTTACCAGGATTTATTATCTGTGGGTCCAATATTAACAATATACGATACGTAGTTGACACTTTGGTGATGTCAGAGACTGAGGCAAGACTTTAGAACTTGCTAGACAAGCGGAAAAATAGGAAAACGAGAATAAAATACGGCCATACATTCTGTCTCAATACAAATTGTTTTCTATGTTCAATAAAAATCAGGTTTAATCGATTTTTTAAAATGCATATTCAAGTCGTTTATATAAAGTAGCGTAAGACAAGGATGTGCCGTCTCTCCAGACTTATTCAAACTCTACAGCTAAGGTATCCTAATGGTGCTGAAGACCTTACCAGGTTTTATTATCAGTGAATGCATTCTTAACAATATAAGGACTAAATGGGTTTGTCTATCGTCCGGTTCACACTCCTCTCCGATATTAGAATTGGGTTTCCAGTTCCTTCTAAAGTCTTTATATTTACTCAACCAACCTCTCACCACCTGGAGGTCAGGTTGGGACACAAAGTCAGTTTACTGTGGGGAACCCGAGCGCGTACACCCGGGCAGGAACAAAAATACCCCGAGCTTCGACAACCGTCGGTTGCGCTGACCTCGGCGCGAGCGCCGATCCCTCTCTCCAGTGCAATGAGAGGGCGCGGCCTCGGGCAGCTGTTCCCCAGGACCGGCACCTCTCAGTATAATTTTCCTCAGTAGCGACTCTGCCCTTTGATAGAGCCGCCCCTGAGGGAACTCTGCCCAAAGACAGAGACGCAACTGAAAGTTGATAAGTAGGGTGTTACAAACTACTCGAGGGAGCAATTTACACACTTTTTCTTTTCTTTCCCACACGGTGGCCCCTTTCGTCTTGGTGGCATTACGTCCTGGCTTGGGGTGTTGCCTCTTACCCTGTAACCTTCTATAACGAGTGGTTCTTGGGCCTTGTACAGAGTGACGATCATTGTAGAACATAATTGTATAATTGTAAAGATAAGCAGATGACACTGTGTTGATGACAGACACAGAAGGGAAAATGACTGACCAACAACTATTCGAGAGGAAAACATATGGCCATCAAAAAACGAAAAACCGAAGATGGAAACTACGAACTGGAGATGTCAACATCGAACAAGTACAGAAACTTAAATACCTGGGAAGGGTTTTAACAGAGGATGGAAAATATGACACCAAAATCCGAACGTGCATGGCATAAGCAAACGATGCCTTCCAAAAGCTAAGCTAGTTACTAAGAAACAGGAAAATTTCATCAAGAACACAGGAAAGAGTGCTGAAACTCTTATGCAAAATCAATCTCTTCACAAATGAAGAAAAGTCTGGCGGCAGCAGAAATGTGGTTCTACAGAAGGATGCTGAGAATACTATGAAAAGAACTCTTAAGAAGTTTTAAGAAAAATGAAAACAGAAGGCAGCGTACCACCTACCTGACGAGTTTGTGCGTATGGTTGGCGGGACGGGGCTTGTGATGCATGGCATAGACACAAACATTGGTAAGAACTACAAGAAATAGGATGTTATGGAGAGCTGTAATCACCCAAATTCTGAAGAAACACGACACAGAGAAGAAGACTATTTTAGTAAATGAACGAACGAATGGAGAGCTTAATACTAAAAAATAACAAGTTTGAATTTAGAATAAGAAGTGCCGTTATCGACAGTACGTTGATTAATAGTTAAATATAATATATTTTAACATTGATTATGTTGGAATCGTACATTGACGTAGTCAATGAAAATTCTGTTCTTGAGGGATAGTGTCTATGAGAATCCTCACAACTCCTGGCATGACACAGTGAACCAACCTTAACGATTAGTAGACCGAGCAATTGATTCAATATAATCTTTCCAATTCATGTTAGTGGAAAACGTAAAACCTAGAAATTGTAATGACATCAACTATGAACACGGCCACAATGTGCTCTTTTCATTATCTATCTATCTATCTATCTATCTATCTATCTATCTATCTATCTCCGTTTATTTGGATACCTGCGTGTTCAGATCTATCTATCTATCTATCTATCTATCTCTGTTTATTTGGATGTCTGCGTGTTCAGATCTATCTATCTATCTATCTATCTATCTATCTATCTCTGTTTATTTGGATCCTATCTTCAGATTTATTTCTATCTGCCTATCTCTGTTTATTTGGATGCTATCTGTTCATCTATCTATCTATCTATCTATCTATCTATCTATCTATCTATCTATCTATCTCTGTTTATTTGGATGCCTGCGTGTTCAGATCTATCTATCTATCTATCTATCTATCTATCTATCTATCTATCTATCTATCTCTGTTTATTTGGATGCCTGCGTGTTCAGATCTATCTATCTATCTATCTATCTATCTATCTATCTATCTATCTCTGCTTATTTGGATGCCTGCGTGTTCAGATCTATCTATCTATCTATCTATCTATCTATCTATCTATCTATCTATCTTATTTGGATATCTATCTATCTCTGTTTATTTTTATCTATCTATCTATCTCATCTATCTCATCTATTTGGATCTATCTATCAGATCTATCTATCTATCTATCTATCTATCTATCTATCTATCTATCATCTATCTCTGTTTATTTGGATGCCTGCGTGTTCAGATCTATCTATCTATCTATCTATCTATCTATCTATCTATCTATCTCCGTTTATTTGGATGCCTGCGTGTTCAGATCTATCTATCTATCTATCTATCTCCGTTTATTTGGATGCCTGCGTGTTCAGATCAATCTATCTATCTATTTATCTCCGTTTATTTGGATGCCTGTGTTCATCTATCTATCTATCTATCTATCTATCTATCTCTGTTTATTTGGATGCCTGCGTGTTCAGATCTATCTATCTATCTATCTATCTATCTATCTATCTATCTATCTATCTATCTCTGTTTATTTGGATATCTATCTGTTTATTTGATGCCTGCGTCTATCTATCTATCTATCTATCTATCTATCTATCTATCTATCTATCTATCTCTGTTTATTTGGATGCCTGCGTGTTCAGATCTATCTATCTATCTATCTATCTATTTGGATGCCTGCGTGTTCAGATCTATCTATCTATCTATCTATCTATCTATCTATGTTTATTTGGATGCCTGCGTGTTCAGATCTATCTATCTATCTATCTATCTATCTATCTCTGTTTATTTGGATGCCTGCGTGTTCAGATCTATCTATCTATCTATCTATCTATCTATCTATCTCCGTTTATTTGGATGCCTGCGTGTTCAGATCTATCTATCTATCTATCTATCTATCTCCGTTTATTTGGATGCCTGCGTGTTCAGATCTATCTATCTATCTATCTATCTATCTATCTATCTCCGTTTATTTGGATGCCTGCGTGTTCAGATCTATCTATCTATCTATCTATCTATCTATCTCCGTTTATTTGGATGCCTGCGTGTTCAGATCTATCTATCTAGCTATCTATTTATCTCCGTTTATTTGGATGCCTGCGTGTTCAGATCAATCTATCTATCTATCTATCTATCTATCTATCTATCTATCTATCTATCTATCTATCTCCGTTTATTTGGATGCCTGCGTGTTCAGATCTATCTATCTATCTATCTATCTATCTATCTATCTATCTATCTATCTATCTATCTATCTATCTATCTGTCTCAACGGGGAAATAACTGGCTTTTTACTTTTAGTTCCTCAAAAAAGCAAAGCTCGTATCATTTCAAAAAGTTAACCTGAGTTTTCTAGTCATGATGAACAGTCACAGACTGACTGAAGCTCCATGTTTTGAACATCTATTTGGCTTCCAATTGACTCCAGCTCAAGTGGAATTGATATATATATAATTCATATCTAAAGTTGATGGAAAAGTGTTGGGCTCGTTGTTTTTACCCCAGGAACTTTTTGGAGAAAGAAAAAACGCAGATAAAAATGTTTAATGTCTCCCGCCAATATCTCATTAATAATGAACTATTCCGTTTTGATTGCGTAAGAAGACAAAAGACATATCAAAAACGCGACGTGGTTTCGATGACCAAATGTAAATAAGAACGGAAGATAGAAGTGCTTAACGTCTGTTTCAGTGAAATGGAAAAAGTTATCAATTTCAAATATTTTCATTTCTACTCCATTACTTCTTAAAATAACGACAAGCATTCATATTTATGATTATTATTGCAATATTTTCTTAAAGTTGTTAAGCTCAAATATTTAACGACGCGATAGAAGAATTTAAGTGTATATTTTATTGTCTTAGAACTAGCCATGAGTTTATTCACTCATTAACTGACGAATTAAGATTCATCAGAAATTTCAAATAGGAAAATTAAATTTTCAAGAGTTAAAACTAATTATTATTATTATTATTATTATTATTATTATTATTATTTATTTCTCTTGTATTTACATTATTATTATTATTATTATTATTATTATTATGTATTATTATTATTATTATTATTTCCTTTTATTTCTGTTGTTTTACATTATTATTATTGTTTATTATTATTATTATTATTATTATTATTTTCCTTTCATTTCGTTGTATTTCCATCCGGGTTCCTACCAAAGACTTAAAGTCAGAAATGGCATCATGACATTTTCCACTGATAATTTTTGTAAAAAAAAAAATGCAAAGATCACACACAATTTTTGCATAGATAAAGCTCTTAGTAATGTGTGAGCTGTAATTGTGAGTACAATTTTGTCAATTTTTTCAAGGCATGGGGTACCAGGAATCCTTTCACTAAGCATATCGGAACCTTTTCCAATAAAACCGTGGGCTACAACTACAACAATAATTATTGATGTCTTTACGTGCCACATTTTTTATATTTCCATTTTAAGATCATTGTATTTTGATAGTTTTTTTTTTTTTTTTTTTTGGACGATCTTCAAAGATACATGACAATCGGCTGGGACGCCATGTCAATAAGAAAGCACATTCTGTTTTTGTGTCCACTGATCACGATATCATGATGTTTGATCGTTCTGTCTGTGTGTATTGTAAAGTCTCATAAATCATTACAGGTCCGATGTTTGTAAAAGGGTATATGCGGTGTTCATACGAATTTCTTGCAGTTTCCTTTCCGTAAAAGTTGCAGATTTTCTCGTACAGTTCCCACACTGCCGAGTTTTATATTCTGTGGATCCTTACACTGTTCAAACTAATACAAGATGGTTCATTGTTTCTTTGTCAATTTATAATCTGCATTTCAGGCTAACATAGTTTTTCAGTACGTGTGCCTTGTAGTTTTTAGTTCGCATGCATTGGTCCTGTGCAAAAAGAATAAAATCTTCGGTTTCAGCTTTTAACCCTGCACTACGTAACAACTGGTGGGTATGGCGTTTGTCTACATCATCTTGTTTGGTACGGGCAGAGTATTGACCATGAAGAGGCTGATCTTGTCATCGTTTCTTCTTCTTCTTCTTATTCTCATTATTATTATTATTATTATTATTATTATTATTATTATTATTATTTTCTTTGATTTCTGGCGTTTACACATTTCTTTCCGGGTCCCGCCCAGGAACCTAAGGTTAGAAATGGCATCATGACACTTTCCACTGACAAAAAAAAAAAAAAATTATATAGACAAAGCCCTTCGTAAAGTGTGGGCTGTCCTTTGAGAACAATTTTTTGTATCTCCTTGAGGCATGGACTTCCAGGAATCCCTTCAATTAGTCTACTGCAATCTTTTCCAACCAGTCCTAGGGATCCAACTACAACAGGGATTGTTGATGTTCCCATATGCCACATTTTTGAGATTTCTATTTCAAGGTCCTTGTATTTTGACAACTTTTTGAATATTTTCAAAGATACATTGCAGTCTGCAGGAACTGCCATATTAATAAGGAGGTGCCGTTTTTTTTTTGTTGTTTTTTTGTAGTCTTTAATAACAATATCTGGCCGGTTGGCCTTGATTGTTCTGTCAGTGTGTATTGTGTAGTCCCATAGAATTGTAACAGGTCCTATCTCCGTAACCGGGTCTGGGTGGTGTTCATACCAGTTTCTTTCAGTTTCTTTCCCGTAGAAGTTGCAGATTTTCCAGTGCAGATATTATTATTATTATTATTATTATTATTATTATTATTATTATTATTATTATTATACTTTCTTCTTTCGAACGGTTTTCTATTTTCAAGCAGATATCTTGCGCTATAAATGTTCTCAATCAGGTCGTATAACCTCAGACAGATAACACCTTTCCCGAAATATTTGTAGTACCAAGCAACGTAGACTTCTGAAACGATGTCTTTATTCCGAATTTCTCAATGTAAGACTTTAAGTTGGGTGGGATAGACCCCAAAACCCCAATGATAAATGGGACAATAGCGGCCTGAACCACTTACATTCTGATAACCTCAATATTCGTTGATTTTTTACCCCACCATTTGTATCTTGAGGCTTTTACTGAAGATCAAGTGACAACAAGTCTCCTCAGTGTTATCGTTAACTTTCATAATGTTCTCAGCCCAATGATTTATGAATCTTTGGATTTATAGTTGCAAACGTTCTGCAATTTCTTCAAGACTAAATGAAGAAATGAAAAAACAAAGCCACTTCCAGAGAATGACGGTGACAAGGTGTTTGTTAAAAATGCTATTCAGTATGATTATTTTATGAGTATTTAATCGCTGTTATTGTATTCTTAATCAAATTCAACCCATGCAAGGCAGTAAGACACAAGGGGTCACTGGGTGTGAAAGAATAAAATAAAAGTGAAACATTATTAAGGAGCGGGAACAATAAAAAAGTAATTGAAAAGACAATAGCTTATGATTTGTATTTAAATTTTTGAAGATCAAAGTTGACAAGAAAACATGGAGTCGGAAGAGAGTTCCACAAGTGAGAAGTGCGAGAAAAGAAACTGTTAGCATAGAACTTACATCTAACGAATTCAACTATGAATTGAAGAGAACTTGTTGCCAATCAACATGTAGATACCATAGCGAAGATTTCGTTCGAATAATTACCATCAAAGTATTTATAGAAAAGGCACAGAGAAGCAACTTTATGGCGGTAAGAAAGTAACAAATGCCGAGACGCCAGGTCAGGACCAATAATATTGCTGATCCTTCTTTGTATTTTATCAAGAATCTCTAAATATATAGCAGGAGCACTGGACCATATGTGGCAGCAATATTCTAAGCATGGACGAATAGTAGAATTATAGTTATGTCAGACAGATTCTGGAGAGAAAAATTGTCTAGCATGACACAGTGAACAAACTTTTTTTATCAGCTGACTTAGCAATGGATTCAATATAGTTTTTTCCGCTTCATGTCAGCCGAGAATGTTAACCCGAGAAGGCGGAATGAATCATTTTCCTCGAGGTTAGCATCAGCCATTGCGATAGAAACAAAAAAGGGGTCTCTCATATGTTTAATAGAGAGCAGTTTCGTTTTAGATGCGTTAAAATTGACAAGCCATTCTTTGCCTCCGTTAACAAGAGACTCTACGTCGTTTTTGAGATCAGCAGCCAATCGAACTGATCAGACTTACAACCGAGAAAGCAGTAAATTGTTATGTCATCAGCATAAATACCAAGTTGAGCGATGATGTCATCAGGAAGGTCATTAACGATAATTAAAAAGAAAACAAGACCAAGGACATAGCCTTGTGGGACACCTGCATTAGTATAAAAGGGTCTAGAAGAGTAGGCATTCATGATAACTTTATTATCACGATTTGATAAGAAAAACTGATAAAGTTGAAAAATTCAGGCAGAGAGCCATAACTTTTCAACTTGTAATGACCGAAATGTCAAACCTTGTTGAACGCTTTCGTGATGTCTAGATATGTTTTTTTTTTATTATTACATAGATTATTTTTAAAACTTTAAACTTATATTTTAGAAAATAATTTCATCGTTAATCTAAAGTTCATAGAAGATACCACAAATTATATTTATTCAGCAATAAAAGGATCATTTTTCCTTGGAAAGAGTATAAGGCGATAGAACGTCACTTCTCCTATCCTAATCTACATATGAAATTCTGTGAATTCCGTTAGTACGTCCACCCGTCACACCCTCTAAAATAACCATACATTGACCATCACACCCTCTAAAATAACCATACATTGACCGTCACACCCTCTAAAATAACCATACATTGACCGATCCAAACCAAATTTTGGGAAGAAGTGCAAACAGGTAAGTTGCTACAAAGTACAGTTGGTTTTACTTGTGTCCGTAGCTTAGTACAGTCACATATCTTTAACTTTTTTCTAAATTAAACGTTTTATTATTTAACATACATTATACTTCTACTATTTTAAAAACAATTTATTGATTAAAATGACAAATACATATTTAATAAAAAATGCAATATTGTTTTTGCATATATTTTCTTTAAGTTTTTATATAAACACGAATCCAGTTTCCAGCTCGCTCTGCGTTTGCGAGAACTATAAACAAATCAGAAGGCCAAACCCTTCAAAAAGTTGAAATTTGGCTCTAGAAAGAAATATTTGCGCATGACCAGTTGTATGTTGCATGCTCAAGAGTAAAAAATCCTAAGAATTTATTCTTTGCTGTTAAAAAGGAAAAATAAATAAATTTTCTTAAATAATATTATTTACCAAGAATTCATATAAAATTAAATTAAAGAAATTATTAAACCTCGAAGTAATGATTTTTTCAAAGTAATTTTC